ACTGTTTCGGCTAAGCAACTTTGGCCTGCGACTACTGTTGTTTTTATCTTCCCGCGTTGTGAGTCGTGAGAGTAGAAAAAGGGATACGTAGTTCTTTTCAACGCAAGAAGTGATTGTTAGCGGCCGAGCTACAGCTAGCGCGTCGATGTTGCAATAGGAAGTCTTGCAACTCTCTCATAATTCTCTATACGTGACAGTGGCAGATCTTCGGGTATGACAATAACAGTAAAATATGCGTATGTGTCGGTGTATCATGTATACATGTGGCGAGGTCGTACGTATGTGTAATGTGATATGACGAGCGTAGCTTTAAAATCTTTAAAAGTTATCGTTATGTCAGACTAGGAAGTTTTATGTTGAAAATCAGAGTCAATGACCGCTTATCTTTTTTTTTTTTTTTTTTTTTTTTTTTTTTTTTTCTTCCAAACGTATGAATGTATGAAAAACATTGCTTATCTTTTGATAACGGCACAGGTTTTTTGTTGCTTCCTCAAACAGACATCGTTACGATACAGGTTTAAAATTAGAACTTCGGACTTTGGCATATTTATTGCGTACCAATTTCTTGTCACCAAATGCTATACTTTTGTGAAAAGATTTCTGTGGTAGATTACCCAAGATTAGAGACTAAACTTTGATTGTGGATTTCTTTCGCTTTCAATTCATCACCACATCAAAGAAACTAACTGATTGGATTTTTACGTAATACTTAAGTAAACCAAATTTACTTTAGGTAAAATCTTTAGCCTATTTACAATGATATTTATGTTTACGAAGGAAATTACTGTTATTTTCACTTGTTCAGATTAAAAAAGTACAATAATTATATTTTATAACTTACAGCTGACATTCTTAATTACTTAATTACAGCCCATCAATTGTTGATTATAGTCATAGCGAGTAATTACAAACATCATAAAATCCAACCAAAAATTTTTCCAATTTTGTATTAATGCTGCTAGTTGTTCGTTGATGAATAACTTTGCAAAAAAGAGAAATAATTTTTAAGTACTAACTCCTACAGTCTGTTAAAAAAAAGATTTCGAAAATTGGATGCACTTATAACTTTTCTTTTACGTCTTGTGTAATAAATTGTAAAAATTTTTACATAAAATTGAACGAAAACAAATTTGATGAAATAGATCAAAACGTAAAACTGTTCTCAAAAAAAAAAAAAGAAAAAAAAAAGGATGGTTTTGAAAAAAAACAAAACCATTAACATATCGCGATTGAAATAGATATTTAGTCGATTATAATAATTTAGTTGTTTGTGCGTCCACATCGTTAATAATTGGAAAAAAAGTTTTTGAAAATTTATATCAACTAATAATTAAACTGTGCTCTCTAAGTCATAGAATAATTACGAGAATATTTTAAGACGAAATCGATTTCTTATCGGGTACTAAAAACGAGTAGGACTTAATTTCAATATGATATAATAAAACCCGTTTGTTACACAATTCTGTCGTTCCCAAAAAATGGTCCCAACCGCGAATAAATAAAATTTTTACCACACCATGCTCCAGCGCTTCCCGCGACCATAGAGAAGCATTAGACGCAGCACGCCCTCATCATTTTCATCATTACGAAGCATCCAAGCAGCCGCGCCGCCTTCGTCTCTAAGTATATAATATATACGCGAGCGAGCGCGATTACGAAACGCGCAATGTAGGTATACAGGCATTGCCTCATGAGGTTGTGAACACATACACGTATAGATAAAAGTAAGTATCTAATCGAGAGAGCTTTCACAACGCATTGCTAAGAGATACGAGGGTGGTAGTGGTGGGATTGAGGTACGGCGGAGTGGTAGGGTGCGTTAGAGAGGGGGGCATGCGGTGCACAGTGCAGAGATGAGGAACAAAGTCGGTAAAGCAGATTTTCTCCTGTGCCAAGGTATTTCTGATTCGCCCCTGCGACACGAGGCGTCGTCTCGCTCCAGCCTCCGAAAAGCGAGCCAGCGCCATCTGGCATCGGTAATAGCGGGCTCCCTTATCCCTAGGTACATACATCCATATCTCTCGACGCGCTCAATAATGACCCGCAGAAGCTATAGGTATAGGAGCTTATACTTATTATTAGTAGAGATGTAACGTACCTATACTGTTGTTTTACATAGCTCTGCGTTGTTCATATAATTGATATAGGTGGTAGAAGAGTAAAAAAAAAGCTTTTGCAAAACGATACGATTTTGATTTTGTCATTATTGTCACTTTTATCATCAACGAATTGCCATGTATACATTTCATTCATCGAAAATTTATACGTAAGAGTTGCTTCGAAGTTTATCATATTGTTATATTGACTTTCCTCTATTTCTTAATGTATTTTAACTTTGCCGCATTTCGTGACTCGCATGGAGGGTAAAACTGTTGTTATTGTAACATTTGCTGTCCTAAGATCGCTTAATTGTCTATAGGTATTTTAGAGTTGTTCTCGCGCTCATCAGTTAGCAAGGTGTTCATACCTATGATTTGTAGCAGAAACGGGTAAGCTCTAATAATTTTTTATACACGGTAAATTCTAAATATCTGCTCATTTCATCTGCTTGGTTATTAATTACTAAAACCGATTTTTACCTTTAATTCATTTTAAATGGTTAGTCTTATAATTTAAAACTCATATTGAACTATGGCTCTTAAAGAATCCATCCGAGCACATCATTTTTCATCTCACCCTTGAATACTTATTAATAAAAATGCAATCTATAAAAAATTCCTGATCCCCCTTTCAAGATGCGTATAAAAATACTGCTATTAAATTATAAAATTTAGATTTATTTCCGAATTGTATATTTTCAATTGCTTAGTCTTTTAAAAAGTTTTTGATTCAAAATTCTTGTCTTCAAAATATAATCCACTTTTTCTACAAACTTTATTAATTTATTATTAAAAATAAAGTAATGCTTAGTAAAATCTTGTTATAGTACAATTATCTATGGCTTAAAGAAGTTTATTGGTAAAATATCATGGAACCGTAAAAATTATTGTAGGACATTCAAATTTCTATGGAACAACTACTTGAGTGATCGCTTGAAATTTTTTGTACTATTAACGTATTACTAACAATCTTGCATCTCGTTGAACTTCATATTTTTAAATAATTCAACAGGCAAGGTAGACTATACGTTTGAAAGGCAGAGCCAGCGATTCCATTGTCATATTTACACAGTTATTATAATTAAGAACACTAAATAAGCATATCCCGTAACTGCTGGACAGTAAAACATCATTGCGGTATAAACTTATGATACATTAAGCCTCGCAACTGTTACTGTAAGAAAAAAAAAAAAAAAAAAAAAAAAATAGTTTTTACAACACTGGCTTGTGATAAACAAATTTCCCATTCGAATATACACATAATAAACGAAGCACAAGTCTTGTGCGGTGGAGGGGTGATAAGTGACTCCCACCGCTTGATCGCACGAATCTCTTAGGATCCTGCAGCTAACAATGAACTGATTTTTAAAACCAAGCACGAATTTTATATTACATATGACCCTCTGTTATCTCGGCCGATCTAATTGACCCCTCAAAACAAAAGACATGGTGTATGTACGATTCCCGCGGGCTCGTAGCCACCAAGTTGATCGAAAGTTCCCCGATAGCGGGTGTAACAAGGCATTGGTCATTAGCGTTCACGAAATCAGTTGTTGCGTAACCCGCTGGCTCAGAGTTAATGATCGAAGAGCATATTTTAGAAGAAGCTTTCGTACGGAAAATAAGAAGAATATAATATTAGAGAAGAAGATAAAGGGAGAGATGAAGAAAGCGCGTGGCGATGATGGTAGCGATGGTGGTGGTGGTGGTGGTGGAAATAGAAAAGGGATAGCAGCAGCGGAGCATACGGGTTTGTTGTATATAGGTATAGGTGTATATGCACACACGTACATAGGCGCGAGCCCGACGAAGCTGGGAGTAACGGTGCTTCGCTTGGGGAGTGCGTCAGAGGAGCCGGGAGGCAGTCAGCAGGGCTAGCGGTACCAATCGACCGGTGCCGTTACTTGACCGACAGAACCGCTAATAGCTATGGTACGGACGCGACGACGCGTCGCTGAAGCCGCCGCTCTGGCAGCCTCTTATTATTGTTATTATTATTATTTTTTACTCATCCCCCCTCCCATCCTCGTCTCTGCTTACACCACCGTGATGTTACGACATGTTACACGTGTGTAAGCATAACATATACTATTATTGCTGTATTATGCATAGATACCTGTAACCATCATCAACATTACTACATAATCTTTGTTATTTTTACTACTATTGTTGTTGTTGTTGTTATACTTATGACAATTACTATTGTAGCCCCTGTTCTCCGAACCGTTTTTTACTTTTTTTTTTTTTGTTCTTTTAAAATTTTTCTTTCCATCTCTATATAAATGCTCTACGAACTGCTGAAACTTAGCAGTTTGAACTAAGCACAAATTGAAAACATACAGTCGCGCAGTACTAATTATTTTAATATTTGACGGTAGGATGTACAACACGTGTTTGCGGGGTGTGCGACTCCCGTTTTGTGGCCGAGAAATCGCAAGGGTAGTCTCTTACTTTACTCAGCTAACGCATGTGTACCAACAACGCTGTAGTTTCACTTTACTATATTATGTGCATGCATGTCCAAAGTAAAAGTACCCTTGTTGGTGATTGACATGAGCTTTAAATTAAATAAAAACACTGCATATTAGACGAAACAGATCATTTGGTTACATTGATCCGTGGGAACGAGTTATCACGACAATGTGTTGTCGATCGAAAAAAATCTATGCGGGGATTACGTATTTTTATAGTCAAGACACCGGTTTGCCGAAGCAAGCGAAAGTTAATTACTACAAGTAAAAATAAGTACTTCGTATGATGGGTCAAAGTATGAAAATTAAAACCTTCGTGGCAAACCCGAGCAGTTGGGCGATAAAGAGGCTTGGGAAGGAGAAAAGAGCAAGACAGAGATTGTTTTCTCACGGCCTTTGAAAGAAAGACGGTGCAGGAGATGCTTGTTACCTGTTCCGGTGATGGGTGGTGAGGCCAGTTGTGAGCTGCTTATGTCCGGAGGCTGTTGCGTGTGCGTCGTCTGTTGTTGCTGCTGCGGTGGTGGTGGTTGTGGCAGTGGCGGACTATTGGTCGTTGTGTTACTCGCACCTGGACTGCCAGCACTTTCCGCCATCGTTGCTTTAACTTTGCTTTACTTTTTCCTTTGTCTTTCCTCACGAATTTTCACGCGATCGCTCATTCAAAATTGACACTATGTCCCGGCTTTTCGTAATTATCATCCTTTTTTTACACATAGCATTGTTCGACGAAGCACTTTTTTTATGACTAGACTATAACGAACTTTTTTTTTTTTTTTCTTGATTTAGGAAAACTCTTTTTCCTGTTCTAGCACCATGAATTACGAATCAAAAGTTATATGATTTTTATCGAGTGACTTGAATCAAAATAGATAGTCATTGATTCCGTAGTTGTTACTATTGTTGGTTTCTTCTAAATAGGACTAGAAATCTTGTGTGCGTTTATGAGGAGAGAAAAAAAGAGAGAGATAGAGAGCTATACATAGGATGTATGTCTACTATTTGCGTGACTGTGCGTATACGTCGCAAAGTAGCACTACTGCAACACTCGAAAGTCTGGCAAGATTTTACAGGACTCGCACGACTCTGGAGCCATTTTTGCCATCTGTTTGTGTAATGGCCTCGAGGATTTCAGAAATCCAATCTGTCTTGATCGAAATGGGCTGAAAAAAGGATTTTTTGTTATTTTTTCATCTTGTTTTTATGATTGAACCGTTGGAGGTCTTGCTAGATTTGCCATGAATATAATAACCATACAAACTCGCTAGACAATCATCATTTCATTTCATCGTACAACTACATAATTGTTATTTAAAAATCATTATTAATCATTAAAAAAACATTTTAAAAATTACATCAACTTGAGTAAATGGCTTCGTCAATGAATAAATAGAAATTGAGAAAACAATCGTTTGTACGCTAAATGAGATTGTAAATTGTTCAGTTTCAACAGATCATACCATCATTAATTTGTCGGTTTTGGCTCTAGTGATTGTGAAAATAATAAAAATTAACACATAAAGTCTGCTACATCGTTAAAAGCTCATAAAAACTGTAAGCAATTCGTGTACATTAAAATTATTGCTAGTGTTTAGATAGTTATAGTTATAGTTAGATCTTATCTCAAAAAAGTAGAATCCAACTCAACACGTATGAAATTTCAAATCATGTCTATTTGGGTATGCATTATCCATATTTCGTAAGTTACATAGGTATATTGTTGAGTTACTTCAAACAAATTATTCTTGATTATTATTTCGTATCGTGTGACACAATGTATCGATTTTTAGTGTTAAAATTTGGATGTAAATTTAACAGTTTATTTATCTTTTAAAAAAAAAGAATATAGTGTATGAAGTTGTGACTGCCATTGCCAGTGAATACAAAGCACATGGGCATCATAATTTGCTTCTATTTTAAGCAATTCCTATTTCTACATTGAAATACATAAATCAGTGATTTGAGATAAAAAGAACAAGAAGAATTTCGAAGAATCAGAAATAACTTATCGACCGGATGGTAAAAAATGCACAAAAGCTTAGTACACAGTCTGACACCTGTGAGTGCTTTTATTCAATTATATCACATGTCATGAAGATGTAAATAATAATTGGTCGTATTAATTCTTAAAATGTATCCATGAAAGATTGTGTTATGCTTGACTCTTGCACATAAATTAGCCCCCGTCACAACAGTTTGGCCACTGCATATGTATAGTATCACTTACGGGCGGGAACAGATAAACACACAAAGTATAGGCAGGGAATTCACCTTTATTTTTGAGTAATATACTATTTATCTCGAAAAATGTTGATAAAATATTTTAAAAAATTTTTAGTAAAAAAAGTTTGAACTTTTTTTATTTTCTGAAATTTACTGTTTTTTACGCGTTTCTATTAACTTTTTAGATTTTACAAACGTATAACTACCAACAAAACTTTTCAGGGACTCCTAATAGAGTTTGGCGAGCAGTCGTAGTAAAAATTTTAAGCTTCCAAAAAAAAAATTCTCTAGAATCAAAAAAAAATATAGGCTTGATTGTTAAAAAAGCAACGAGTGAAAACGGGTTCTTTTGTATAAATTAACATAAACTTTTTTCTTAGTGGAGATAATTATTCTTTAAAAGCACCAAATATTTTCGATAGGACT